TGCATCTGCCCATCAGCAGACACGTGGAAGGAGTAAGCCCTGGAGGGGACGGAAGGGGCCTATAACCAGAGGGTGGAGGCTGACCCTCCCCATCCCAAGCAGAGCAGTCCCCACTCGGTTGTCACAAGAGCACCTCAGAGAACCTGACAAACAGCCCGAACAAAGGCTCTTCCCCCAACCCACACAGTTATTGGGATGCCACTGGCCCTTTATCTTACAAACATAAGGCGAGGGAAAGGCTTCAAAATGGCCTCTCAGACAGATCCTGGAGAGGGGTCTGTCCCCAGGTCCCTCGCCTGACACGTTAGCCTAGGATACAACCACTTTTAAAGGTCTCAAAGAATCTTTTGGAATCCAACCCATTTCCCAGATGCAGCCACCTTTTTCAGGGAGCCCAGTGTCCTCACCTGGCCTTTATCAGCTAAATGGGTACTCACGGCTTTCCCCCAGAGATACCAGGCAAGGTGGAGGAGAGGGCAGATACCTGGATGTGGGAGTGAGATTCAATTTCCATCTACTGATTCAGGGGATGAGGAAGAAGAAAGCCTCAGGTTCCCATCTCTCCCCCCCCAGATCCTCCTCCTCCCTTCACCCCCTAAGCTGGACAGAACTCTCAGCTGAAGCTCACGAGAACCTCAGTGTTTCTTCACCTAGTCCTGAAGGATAACTGATGACCATACGTGTCCCTTCACAAATAGGATCATCGGGACTGGCCTAGTTCCAAGAAAATCCAGAGTGCTTGCCTCTTCCCCAACTGGGGGCCCAATGCAGACTCACTGTGGGGGAGCGACCGTACATTATGGGGCCGATGACCTGTGGGGACAGGTGAAGGCTCATGTAGGAGCGAGGCACAGCAAAATCCCCACTGAGTAGAGTGTGGGGTCCCATGCCAAAGGATGCAGGGAAGGGGCCACACAACGTCAGGGGACTCCTCAAGGCTGTGGGGAGGGGACAAGACCTTCGGACATCCCCTCTTCCCTCCAGCACCAAGAAAGGGGCTTCAGCTCCTGAGCCTCCTTAGTTCAGGGCGTCAGGGTTCCCAAATCTCTCTGCTCTCCAGCCAAGAATTTTGTCCTCCAAACTAAGGATTCTGGGGCCCCCATAAGAATTCAGCAGTGCCCACTGGACCCTTCAGAAGAGGAAGGAATTGAGGATAGGGAAGTTTCCCCAACCACCCCTCTTCATCTACATTCCTGTTACCCTCAACTCCCCCATTTGTTCTCACAGGAAATTCCACTTCCCCCTATGACATAGCTCCCTGAAGGCCCCAGTCCCCAGAATCCATCTCTCTCTGAGTATGCCATTATTGCTTCAAGCTCACCACATCCAAAAAACCCAAGTCACCACCTTCCTCTCCCCCTAATGACCCTAGGATCCAGTGATCTAACCCAATTTCTCTGGACCAATGGCACTATCGTCTTCTAACTACCAGCCAGCCACCTCTGAGGCATCTTTGACCCCCAGCGTCATACCTTATGTCCAAACTGCTCCCAAGCTATGGGGCCTGGGGTAAGCCTCTTCCTTGCCTAGGCTTTAGGTTCCCAATCTGTCAGATGACCGGATTGGACCAATGTCTGAGGTCCTTTCCAGCTCTAGCATTCCACAGTCTCTAAGTCTAGTCAGATCTTCCAAATGTCTTCCTCATCTATTGACAGCCCATCTCCAGTCAGCCTCATGGCACCATAACTAACCTCCATTCCTCCAGCCTCTACCCTTGACTTTCTTGTATGGAGTCTTCTTCAAACAACACTTTTTTTTTTTTTGGCAAGGCAATGGGGTGAAGTGACTTGCCCAGGGTCACACAGCTAGTAAGTGTCAGTGTCTGAGGCCAGATTTGAACTCGGGTATTCCTGAATCCAGGGCCAGTGCTCTCTCCGCTGCACCATCTAGCTGCGTCCCAACACTTTCTTCCTATCTCTTCCCTGCTTCAAAACTCCCAAAGCCACCCCTGTTGCTTAACACATCAAAGTCCAAAGTCCTGAACCTGACATCCAACGTTCCATCTCCTCCCTCCTAAGTTCTATTAGGTCCCACTCTGCCTGGCCAACCTCATTTCTCATTACTCCCAATTACATCCCAAAGATGCACATGGCATTTCAATAGGGCCTATCACCTGAATGTCAGCAGCACACACCCCTTCCCACCCTCCATTCCCAAACACACAGTCCAGTACAAAACACAGTATTCATTTGGGTCTTCAAGCCTTTGCAGCTCATATCATTCTCCATTCCTGGAGTGAATCTTAGTAACCTAGATAACCTTATAAGCTTGGAATTTTGGAACCGTGAAACATAGAAACACGTCGGAGTTGGGAGGGCCCTTAGAAGACGAGATGTAAAAGCTGAGAGGGCCCTTAGAACACAAGGTGTCAGAGCTGGGAGGGCCCTAAGGACACAGGATGTCAGAGTTGAGAGGGCCCTTAGGACACAGGATGTCAGAGCTGGGAGGGCCCTTAGAACACAGGATGTCAGAGCTGAGAGGGCCCTTAGGACACAGGATGTCAGAGCTGGGAGGGCCCTTAGAACTTAAAAGTTATTAGAGTTAGAAGTGACCTTATTCATCTTCTAGTTCTCCTCCACCCCACCCCCCAACCATTTTAGAGGTGCAGAGAGGGGAACATATTTGCGCAAGGTGATACAGTGAGTTAGTGATGGATGTGATAGTTGACCCCAGGTTTCTTAATTTTCAGTCTCCCTTGTTTCCCTTAGCCCACAGTCTGAGTCAGTGAGGTCCTGCTCCCACCAAACAGTCTTCATCCATCTTTCGCAGGCTGACTCGCCCCTCCCAGGAGCTGGGGTCGAGGTGGATGGGAGGCCAGGTTTCTCACCAGCACCGTCTGCAGCAGGCCGTGGTTTGGTGCCAAGCTGACGGAGGTGGCTGGCAAAGCTGGGGCCAGGGGTGGAGGCGTCTGGAGAGGAGGAGGAGCTGCTGGGCTTACCCATTGGAGGCGTGCTGACAGAAAACAGCTTCTGCACAGAGAAAGGAATGGGGGAGGGGCAGTCAGATTTAGGGTAGGGGGAGATAAGTAGCTGGGGGCTATTTAGAGCTAATGCATTTGGCAGAAAACTAGGGAGGGTGATGTACGAATAAGCACATGTGTGTACTTGCAGGTGTCCGTGTATGGGTGAGTATACCACATACATGCACGTATGCCCACTCATGTTAGCAACTCTTTACATATAAGGGAGCCACTGTGGACATGCATACATAGATTTGCATAAGCATTGAAAAAGATGGTTACATACTGTCCATGAATCCACATGCATTAGCCTACCTACACAAATGCACTGGGTTTGTACATATGGATACAGGCATGGACACACACATGCAGGAATAAAGGCATACGTGGATGGCATACATGGGTGTACCATTTCCCGTGAGTACATATGTGTATTTGCATCTGTGAACATCTTGCATGTTATCACACACAAGCGAATATGAGTGTGCTCATGAATAGGTGGGACAGGACAGAGAGAGCCATGGTGGGGGGGAGTCCCTCCTGTAAGCCAGCCCCCCTGCTCCTACCACTGCCCCTCCTTGAGCAGTAGGGCTTTATGGCTTTGTTGGGGGGAGCTCCAGGGATATCCTGGGAGCACCCCCATCCCCTTAGCATCTCTCTCCGTCTCACACCAGCCCCCTCCTCCCGCATCTGCCTGAGCCAGTGGGACTCAGATTGATTGGCCCTGAAAGGCAGCCCTCCCAATGATGTTTCAATCCCAGAATCTGACTTGGCCAATCAATCCAGGGCCCAGGGAAGCAGTTCAGGCAGCAGCCAGGCAGGAAGGCCCGCAGGGCCTGGGTGCCAGGAACTGCCACATTAACTCCTTCTGTACAGTATGGGCTTTAAAACCATTTTACAAATCAAGTTATTGAATTAAGCCCCATGCTGAGGTGGAGGTGAGGGTGGGGGTGGGAAGTAGTACCGAGTACTCAAAATCCCAGCTCTCATTTCTCTGGTCCCTGAAGTTTACAAAGCACCTTTCTCATCACTAAACTGGAGGCATGCATGATACACATGTATTTATCATATATATGTGTATGTATATATGTGAACTATTCATTTTACAGATGAGAAAACTGAGGCACAGAGAAAGGAAGTCATCTGTCCAAGGTCACAGAACTTGTAAGTGAGAGGAGGTCTGGACTCAAATACAGTTTGGTTTTTTTTGTGTGTTTGGGGTTTTTTTGAGGCAATTGGGGTTAAGTGACTTGCCCAGGGTCACACAGCTAGTGTCTGAGGTCATATTTGAACTCAGGTCTTCCTGACGTCAGGGCTGATGCTCCATTCACTTTGCCACCTAGCTGCCCCAAATCCAGCTTTTTTGACCCGTATCTATATACAGGCGTCTTCTATCACAGGGCACTGCCTCAGCCTCCCTGCCCCTGGTGTTCTGGACAGTGTCAGAGTCAGCAGCCCAGGGCTACAGATGTGGTCACAATGACTGTCTGGGGATGGGCTCTTTGATTCCTTACCAGGCTGGGATCCTTGCCTTTGGGGGTCAGTGTAGCCTGGCTTGAAGCCAAAGAGGCCAAAGAAGCTGGGCTGTCGGGCAGATCTGGGTGGGTTAGTAGCTTCGGGCTGGGTGTGGGCACCAGGCTGGGGGGTTCCGAGACAGGATCCTAGCAACGAGAAGGTCAGAGAGCTTGGGGAACCTGCCCCTTCCTAACGGGGAATTTCTTACTCCTCACTTAGGAGGGAGTCTCTAATTGGGCACATCTGTCCCTGCTTCCTCGCCCCAGCCCCAGGAGGGAGGCAGCTTGGGGGTAGGAAAGAGCCTTGCTCAGATAAGAAGGTGGTGAAACTGAAAGATGGAGCCCAGAGTGTGTGAAGGAAGGCAGCCTGGAGCAGAGCTGTGAAGATCTAGGTCCCCATCTCAGCTGTGCTGTATGACCCTGGGCAAGTTCTCTTCCCTCTACAGACCGTATATAAAATGGGAGAGTGGGAGTGGGACCAGATCAGAGATCCTTTGTTCCCCCAAGACAATCAGCGTTAAGCGACTTGCCCAGGGTCACACAGCTGGTAAGTATCTGAGGCCAGATTTGAACTCAGGTCCTCCCAACTCCAAGCAGGTGCTCTGTTCTCTGAGCCACCCGCTGCCCCTTAGATCAGAGACTGGTAAACTCCATTGTGTCATGGAGTCCTTTGGCAGTTCATCTGGTGAAGCCTAAGGAGCCTTTCTCAGCGTGTTTTCAAATATGTCAAATAAAATGTATGCATAGGATTATGAAGAAAACTAATTATGTTGAAATATAGCTTTTTTGGTTTTTTTAGTGAGGCAATTGGGGTTAAGTGACTTGCCCAAGGTCACACAGCTAGCACGTGTCAAGTGTTTGATATGAGGTCGGATTTGAACTCGGGTCCTCCTGACTTTAGGGCCGGCGCTCTATCCACTGTGCCACCTAGCTGCCCCGAAATATAGTTTTCAATTAAAAAAAAAGTTCATGGATCCCTTGGTTAAAAAAACCCCTAGACTAGAGCATCTCAAAAGATTGTGCAAGCTCTGGGGTTTTATCATCTTAATGAGACTGTGAGGTAAGACAGGACATTTAGAAGTCACTGAGTTTTCCCCAATCCTTTTGGAGAATGGTAGAGAGAAGAAGGGAGGAGGGGACTCCCATCTCCCTCTCCAGCTCCTGTCCTAGGTCCTGCCCAAGAAATCAGGGCTTGTATCTCCCTCCCCATCAAGATACTCTGAAACCCATCCTCAATGTCCTCTTCCCAGAAAACAAGCTTTCCTCTTGATGCTGATGTCCCTGTTTCCCTACCCCAGAGGGAAGAAGTCCCAGCTGTATGCCCTCACTCCCACCCCCAGGGGCCAGACTCACTTCATCCACCACCAGATTATAATCACTCTTGTCACCGTCGCTGTCCTGGAGGAGAGAAAGGGGTAAACTAGATGGGAGCTGGCAGGGAGGGACCCCCTCAAGAGCAGGCCTCAGAGGCAAAGCCAAGCTCCCCTCATCAGCAGCCTCTTTTGACCGTAAGAGGTCAGAGCTGCAAGGGCCTTGGTATATAGAACCTGGAATATCAGAGCTGGGAAGAGACTTGGAACATAGAAGATAAAATGTCAGGGTTTGGAAAGCCCTCTAAACATATGATTAGATTGATGAGGTTTTTTCTCTTTCTTTTTATTCTCTGTTACAAGGGATGGGTCTCCAAGGAGAAAAGGAACATGTTTGGAAATGAAACTGTTGTAACCACAAAAGATATCAATAATTTAAAAAAAAGGAACACAGACCATAGAATGTCTAAAGGGGCCTTTAGAGACCATTAAAATACCCAGGTTTCTCTTTTTACAGATGGGGAAACTGAGGCCTAGCAAGAGGAACAGGGACACAAGCCCACTTACGTAGTTTCCTAGAGGATCTTTCTCTTCCTGTTTGCATGTCTGACCAATGAGCCACTCTTCCTCCACTAGGCTCTCTGGGGGTGAAGGGGATAGGTTCTGCAGGAAAACATACAGGGTTTATCAGGCATCCTGAAAGCAGCTATGAAGGCTCAGCTGGCCCTGGGAAGGAGTCCACATCCTTCCCCCACTCCCAGGCCCTGAACAAGTGTCCCCAGTTCCTGGAAGCTAAAAGGAGGAGGACACGGCCATCCATTAGACACAGGGTGTCCCAGCTGGAAAGAGGGCCTGCATTCTCCCAGCTCTCCAAATTACCCCCCTCTCACCAAGAGATACAGGCCTTGGGTTCTCTATTGAGAAAGGGGTCTCAGCTCCCGTTGGCTCCCTGGTTCTTGAGGAGGCCACAATGTCCTCTCTAGGGGTCAAGTGAGGCGGGTGCCAGGCTGTGCCTGCTTCCCCCATGCTTATTTATGAACACACACACTGCCTTCCCCACAACTCTGCTTTCTTCTCCCCATCTTGCAAGATGCTCACTCTGGAAGGGATAATGAGGCATATCCGTAATGGAAAATCCCCAGCCCAGCCTACAGCCCCTTCTCTTCTCTCCTTGTTTATTCCCTCTTGCCCTGGCCAGAGACCATCAGAGCTGGGAGGGACCTAGAGACAGAGAACACAGAAGGCCCGGAGAAGAAGGCCCTTAGAACACGGAATGTCAGATCTGGGAAGGGACTTGGAAATTATCTAACCTTACCTCTTTCCCTGCCCGGGAAACCACTGTCCATAAGGTATCTCTGACAGCCTTCATTTGCAGACCTCCAGTGATGGGGATCTCCCTCCCTCCCTCCCTCAGCAGACCCTGCCATTGGGGAACGCCTCTGACTGTTAGGAACTTTTTTTCCTGCATCAAGGTCAAATTCGCCTCTCTACCATTTCAGCCCAGTGCTCTTTGTGTCTCTCTGAGCCCAGACTAAATCTAATCCCTCTCTTATATGACAGGCCTTCAGATATTGGAATATAGCTTTGAGTCTCCTCCAACTACACCTTCCTAGCTCTTCCGATGGCCTGCTCTCTGCCCTGTCCCCATCCCAGCTTCCCTTCTCTCAGTGAGCTCCTTCCCCTATCATGGTCCTTGAACTGGACATGGTCTTTCAGGTGGGGCATGACCAGGACAATCTCAGCTTCTGTGCAGGGCACCAGGGCATACCAACACGGCTGTTGAGGCCATGGGGAATGGAAGGGCTAGTCATGGGAATTCAGCAGAAGGTGCTTCCATGCCTGCCTCACAACTCCTCTCACAAATGTTGATGGGATCTGGAGCTGAGACCCGCCTGACTGAAGATGAGGGAAGTGGGCTGTCAGCTTATAGCTGTTATCTTCAACCCACCCCCAGAGAGGCTCTTTACTTCCCTCCAACTTTGACTGCTCCTTGGAGGGGAGGAAGGGAGAGGAAGGAGGAGAGGCCAGTCAATAATCCCTCCTACTGGGGTGGGTCGGGGGGTGGGGGGGAAGGGAGGAAAGGCCAGCAGAAGAGTTGGTACTCAAAGCCCAGACCCAGGATCCTAACTACCCCCACTCCCCCCTTACACACACGTGGGCCAAAGCTGCCCAAGATGAAGAAGCCCAAAGGCCAGATGAATGCAGATGAGATGGAAATGCCACAGCAAATCCCCAAGTGATCTCAGCTCAGGGTGGCTCTGGGAGAGGAAAGACAGAGCCCCAGTCCCAGCCCCATCACTCACCCGGCTGCTGTGGCCTCTGCCTGCTGCTCCCCAGGCCCAGGGGAGGAGGAATGAGAGAGACAGAGAAGGGAGAGGAGAGAGGGAAGGAGGGAGGAGGGATAAAGAGAGTAAAGGAGAGGGAGAGAAGGGGAGAGAAAGAATGAGGGAAGGAGAGAGAGGAAGGGAGATGGAGGGAGGGGGAGGGAGGGAGAGAGAGGGAAGGGGGAGAGAGAGAGAGGAAGGGAGATGGAGGAAGAGGGGAGGGAAGGAAAGGGAGAGAAGAGGAAGAAATCCAGGAATTATGAATGCAGACAGCTTCCTTTCCTTCTCATCCCAACATGTCCTTTTTCTCTTATATTTTTGTGTCACTCTTCTTTCCCCCTTCCCTGGTACAGCCCTTTTCCTACCCCCTCCCAATGTCTCTTCTTAACCTAACAGCCCTCTTTCCTCATCCCCTCCCTCATTCTCTCTCAACCTCAGAGTAAGCCCCTTACCTGGAGGCTCCCCGGTGCCTGGGATCCTCTGATCCTCCTTGGTAGTAGCATCAGTGGTAGTGGTAGTGGCTGCCAGCTGGACCTGGGTGGCCAGGGCTCCAGACAGAGCTAGCAGCCCTGCTGCAGGGTGGGGGGTCAAGGGTACAGGTGGAATGTGGTGGGACAGGTGCTGTAACTGCTGCTGCTAGATTGGAGAAGGGTCCAGGTTGAGGAGGGGGACAACAGTTAGCCCCCAAGGAGGTTTGTGGCCCCATTACACAGAAGGGCAAACTGAGGCTCAAGAGGGAGAAGGTCTCACAGAAAGTCAGGGGTAAAGTAGGAAACAGGGACTTGGGGGCATCTGAGGTCTGACTTAACCAAGTGTCAAACTCCTTGGCTTGGCCCCAAGCTCTGGACAAAACCTCAGCCTGATGGATGCTGACTCACCCCAATAATGCTGTTCAGCTCTGTTGTGGTCACTTGTTTGGCCCTCTCCACAGCCTGAAGGACTTGCTGCTGGTGCTTGGGATAGGAAACACATTGAGGTGGGGTGGGGGGAAGATGGTAGCAGTGGGGAGATGAAACAGAGACACCTTGGGGTGATGGAAATAGCTGACTCTGAATTGATAGGACCCAGGATCAAATCCCGGCTCTACTACTTAGGACCCAGGGGTGGGGGAACCCTTGGGCCAATCACTGACACTCTCTGATCCTCAGTTTCCTAATCAATCACTCAATTAACATTTATTAAGTGCCTACTATGTGCCACATACTGGGCTAAGCACTAGAAATACAAAAAGAGGCAAAAGACAGTTCCTGCCCTCAAAGAGGTTACAATCTCACCTGTAAAATGAGTGGTTTGGAATGGGTGGTCTCTAAGGTCCCTTACAGCCCGAAATCTATGAATGTTCTTTCTACTACCTGTGTCCCCTCCCTTAAACTAGACTGTTGTTTTAGGATACCCTAGTCCGGGAGCAAACCAAGCAGATGCTTAATGTTTGTTGAATTGATGGGATTGCATTGGGAATAAAGGTCCCTGCCCCTTATCAGTCTCCATCCTCCCACAGTCCAGCACCCCAGAACCCTGAAACAGAGAGGAAGGGTGAATGGAGCACTGAACTTAGCATCAAGAAGATCTAGGTTCAAAGCCCACCTCTGACATATAGTGGTTGTGTGATCCTGGACAAGCAGCATCTCTCTGAGCCTCAGTTTACTCATCTATGAAATCACTGTACTAGATGGCCTTGAAGGTCCCTTCCAGCTCTTAGGATCTCTGCCCCTTTGATTCTCCCTTCCCTGCCCTTCCTGGAAGCCCCAAGCCCACCATGCTCACCTCCTGCTTCACAAAGGGGATGATCTTGGCACAGACGGTACTGAGTCTTTTCACAATCTCTGCCTGGCAGAGAGACAGACACGGAACAGGGTTAGGCTGGAAGCATGGGGAGGAAGGCAGTGTCTCCCAGTCCCCCCAACAATCCCTTACAAGGAAAGCTGGAGGCAGAAGAAAAAGAAGCCCTCCCCACCCTCCTTAGCAGAGCTGGGTCTGCTCCCTATCCTAGGGAGGCCCCAGCTCTCCCCCTCCCTCCCTCTCTATTGCTTTCTCTTCTGAGCCTCAGCTTCCTTGTCCGTAAGAGGAGATGGCGGCCACTGCCCAGCCTTCCTCACAGGGGTGGAGGCAAGATGGAGAAGGCCATCTGAAGAGGGAGAAAGGAACTGATTCTTTGCAGAAAAAGGCCAGGGCTGAAGGCACCCAAGGGAGCTCTGTGTGTGCGTGTGTACGTGTGTGTGTATGTGTGTGCTTTGTGTATGTGTGTGTGTTTGTACCCTTGAACCTGTGTTTGTCTGTGAATATGTCTATGAATGTGTGTGTGTGTGAGCGCATGTGTGTGTCTCACTCCCACGATCATAAAAGGAGCAAACTGGGAGGGAGGCCTCTCCAGCTGGAGAAATATGGCTGTTGGATTCACCACTTCGTCGGGCTCTGCTCCAAACTAATTTCTCTGGCAGGCAGCCCCGTGATGACGGGATTGATGGATCTGAAGAGTGACAGCAAATTACTGCCGGAACAAAGCAGGCAGCCACGAGAAGGAGGACAGGAGGTGGGGCGTGGGGGAGAGGGAGGAAAGGCAAGAGCAGAGAATGAGGCTGGGCAGGGCATGGGCGCCTTGTAGAGGATGTCAGAGCTGGAAAGCACCTTGGAGATCACCCCATGCCAGCCTCACTATGACCTCTGGCAAAGAGCCGACTCGCAATTTCTCCATGTGTGAAATAAAGAGATTGGACCAGATGATCTCTAAGGTGACATCTATCTCTGAGGTACTGTGCTCTAAGAGCCCTTTAAAAAAAAAACCCACCAGAACAGTGACTTCATTGTTGTAAGGAGGTCTTAGTGAGAGGATGCCCTCCACAATTTACAGTCTTATAAAGTTGCCCTAGTGTATGGGGCGGGGGGGGGGGGATTTGAGAGGTTGTGTGACTGGTTCAGGGTCACACAGGTATTATGTGTCTGAGGCCACACTTGAACCCAGGCTTCTTCATTCCCAAGATACCTTACTTCCCTCTACATCCTATCTTCTAAGACCTCTTCAAGTGATGACAGTCTACCTTCTACATTCTCAAGTCCCTTCTATGAGTCTGTGGCTCTACTCCTCTCCTCATTTTGCATCTGGGGAAACTGAGGCCAAGAGGTAGAGAAGGGACTTGCCCAAGGTCACACATCAAACTCAGACAGAATTCAGAATGGGACCTAGGTCTCTTGAAAAGCAATCTGTTTGGCTCCAACCTGGAGACCTAGGGAAAAACACTTAATCTCTAAGTCTCCTCCTTGTAACAATTACCTGGAGGTATGGCTAAGATTCTGAAATACACAGCCTGCTCTCTCCCCTCTCACCTGCTTGTGCATCTCCAGGTTGAGGCCATAGGACATCTCATAATACTGAAAGGCAAGGAAGAGCTGTCATGATCACCAGACATCAGCGATATCCTTCCCTGCCTTCCCTTTGGTTCAACAAGAACATTTGTGATCTCAGGTCGGGTCAGAACTAACCAGCCCAGCTCCTGGCACATTCCTCTACCCCTCAGCATACTTAAAGGTCCCACTAGGCTTGCCTTTATAGAATTTAGTCCTGTATCACTTATCCTAGAGAAATCTCTCCCCAAACTCTCCCACCCAGTTTGTTCCTGGGGGCCAAGGGAACTCCAGCCTGGTCCATCTTGACCTCATTGCTGCAGCAGCCTCATTCCCACCCTAACCTGTTAGACTGCATCAGAGAAACCCCTACCACTACCTCCAAGAGCAGGGGAGGAAGGTTCCTAACACATTCTCCCTCCACCATTAATGACCTTGGCCTGTGTCCCTCCCTTCACCAGGACCCACTGGGACTGGGAGAGAAGCACGACCATTCTCTCCTAGCTCTATTTCTGGCTCCCACCAACCCTGAGCCCTTGCTCCATTAGCTTAGGGAGAACACACTCATCAAAAGGAAAAAACACCTCCCAGAAAACTACAAGTTATGACCTAAGATCCTCCGTAGAGGGTTCCACTCAGGGCACTGGAGTGCCCTTCTAGAATGACAGAGTCCCAACTCTCAAAGAGCTTAAGGTCTTTTGCAGGGGGTGGGAAGAGGAGTGTGACATCATGATTCCAAGGAGGTCATCTGTGTAAAGCATTTTGAAAACTTTCAATATAGAATACATTTAATAAATTGGATAAATATAGAATATATTCTATAGATATGTCAGTTATTATTCTAGGTGATAATCTTGGGAAAGCCAGGATTGGCATAAGGGTGAGGAACTTGTAGCCTCGAGGTCACATGTAGCCTTCTAGGTCCTCAAGTGCAGCCCTTTGACTGAATCCAAATTTCACAGAACAAATTCCATTAATAAAAGAATTTGTTCTGTAAAATTTGGACTCAGTATAAAGGCTGCACCGGAGGACCCAAGGCCACATGTGGCCTGGAAACCAAAGTGTTCCCCACCCCTGGTAGAGGGAAGAGCCCTGCACATGGAATGAGAGGATGTCCTGCTTTGGTCACTGTGAGATTCTGGCCTTTTCCTTCCTTCCCAGGGCTTCAGCTTACTTATCTGTAAAATGGGTAGGTGGGTCAGCGGGAAGGGTATGTTGGACTAGGTTATTTCTAAGGTCCCTTCCAGCTTGAATATTTTGTGAATTTTAGATTACTAAATCTAACTCCCTTTCCTTGGATCGTTTTAGAAATAGTGAAACTGAGATTCAGGGAAGAAAGGACCTTCCCTAAGGCCTTATCATAATCCCATGGCAGGGTCAGGGACTGGAATTCAGGTCTTTAGGTAAAACAATTAGTAGAAACCAGGAAAGGGTTGGAGGTTCCAGGAGGAGGCTCAGTGTGCTCCCCCCCTCACCATGACGTAATGACGCTGCATCTCAGTCTTCTCACTGGCCAGTTTTTCACACTCCAGTTTGAGGCTGGGGAGATCAAGGAGAGGCCAGACCCAGCATCAGGAACTGCCCCGCCCCCAGTCCTGTCCTCACCTAGATCAGGAAATGCCTTGCCCCCTAAGCCGCCACTTCACCAGGATACTTCCCCCTTTGAAGCCAATTCCTAGGATGTTCCTGGCTCTTTTTCCCTCACCTGGCCACTCCTACTCTGGCCCCTCCCCCTTCTTTCACTATTGGCCCTTTGAGCTCTGGGGTCCCGCCTTCTTTTCCTCCCTATTGGCTCCTCCCTCCCCTCACCTGCCCTTAGGTTCCGCCCTCCTTGGCTATGCTCCTTCTCCCCTCACCTGGTCGCTCCCACTCCTAGGCCACGGCCTTCTGTCTCTTCCTGCGTATTGGCCCTTAGCTCTCCGGGGTTCCGCCCTCACCTGGCCTCTCCCACTCTCCACCCCATTGGCCCTTTTAGTCCCGAGACATCGCCCTCACCTGAACGTCCCCTCCCTCACACTTAGCGACTCAGGCTCCCGGACTTGGGGAACGTTTGGTGGGGGGAGGGGACTGCCCTCAAGCCCAGCTCTCCCGCCCCGCCTCACCTGTGGTACTGAGCCTGCAGGAATTGAAATTCCTCCTTCATGCGGTCGCAGATCTCCAAGACAGAGAACTTGAAGGGCTGTCCGGCCTGGAGTGGAGCGTGGTCAGGGGTGGGGGTGGGGGTGGGGGTGGGGGTGGGGGGGAAAAAGAAGATGCTAGGTCTCAGGACCAGACTAGCCTGAGAATCTCCTCTGACCCTCGGGTTCCCCACACCCTTACGCGCCCTGGGAATCCACTCACCGGAGGCCTGCCTTGGGGATACATCCTGCGGGGCCCCGCCCGCTCCACCCTGTACCCTAGGGCTCCCCCAGCCCCGGGCCCCCAGCCGCCGCCCGGCCAAATTTTGAGGAGAGCCAAAGGAATGAAGGAAGACGGGAGGGAGGGAAAGGAAAGCAGGACTGAGGATAAAACCTACGGAGGGACAATGAAAAGGGGATGCCGCAGAGGGACCCAGGAGTCCGGGGCTCCCTGCGAAGAAAGGCTGGAGAGGGAGGAAGGAAGAAAGTAGCTGGGAGGTAGGCAGGAGCTGGGGAAAGCTGGGGGGGGGTGCCTAGGCAAAGGGCCCCAGAACCCAGGAGTTCCTGGCTCCCCAAGGCCGTCTGGAGCTGGAGAGAGATAAAGGAGCGCCCAGGGGCTCCTGCTCCGGAGAGAGCTTGAGCTCAGCTGCCTCTTTTCCGAGATGAGCCAGAGGAACTGGGCAGGAGAGAGGGGAGGGAGGGAAGAAAAGGGAGAGGGAAGAGAAGAGCTCAGCGGGCGGGCGGGGAAGGTCAGGAGCGAGGTGTGGATCTCGGGCAGCTGTGGCAGCCGCAGGGCCAGTGGCCGCGGTCTGTCCCACTCTAGCCGCCTCGGGGCTCAGCTCTATCAGAAACGCCGCTAGCACCGCGGCCTTAAGGTGGCCCGCCTCCCCAATCCTCCTATCCCCCGCCTACCCCATCCTAGTCAATTCTGCTCACCCCAGACCTGGCCAGCCTCCACCTACAAACAGCCAGACTGAGACTGGGTGCCTGAGGATTGGAAACTCCTCTAAGCATTACCTGGGGAGACGCTCCAGAGGGGCTGGGGGCGGGGGAAGAGGAGGCCATATCTAGGGGGGTGCTGAGGAGCTTATCTGGGTATCAATGGGATGAAGAAAGCATTGGCTGAGTCCAGAAGCACTGATTGAGGCACAGATCCGGTTTGTTGGCAATGCATTTTCCTCTGCAGTCTTCAAAAGATCGGTGCCCAATTTCACTTCCTCCAGGAAACCTTCCCTGATTCTTACCAGGGTCTGTCACACACTATGGACTCTTCATTCCCACCAGTGGGAATATGGCCTTAGAATAAGAACAGAATCCCACAGAGCACAGAGTATCAACTGTTAGCAAAGAGGATGGATGTCAAAGCAGGGAAAGTCCTTAGAAGTCAGAATGTCAGATCTAGAAGGCCCCTTAGAATACACAGTGTCAGAGCTAGGAAAGATCTTGGAACCTGAATGTCAGAGCAGGGAGGACCCTTAGAAAAAGAATATCAGAACAAAGAAGGCACAGAACAGAGCTTGGAAGGGCCTTAGAACATAGAATGTCAGAGCTGAGAGGACCCTTAGAACTGAGGATATCAGAGCTGGGAAGGCCCTTGGAAAACAGAAGTGTCAGAGCTGGAAGGGCCCTTTCAGCTCTGAAATTCAGTGTTCTAAAGTCCTTACCTGCTCTAACATTCTGAGTTCTAAGGGCCCTTCCAGCTCTGACACTTCTGTTTTCCAAGGGCCTTCCCAGCTCTGATATCCTCAGTTCTAAGGGTCCTCTCAGCTCTGACATTCTATGTTCTAAGGCCCTTGGAAAACAGAAGTGTCAGAGCTGGAAGGGCCCTTAGAACTCAGAATGTTAGAGCAGGTAAGGACTTTAGAACACTGAATTTCAGAGCTGAAAGGGCCCTTAGAACACAGGTCAGAGCAGGGAGGGACCTTGCAACATAGAATGTCAGAACTGGGAAGGAAATTAGAAGTTAGGATCACTCAGTCAAGAAGTCTTTATTAAAAACCTGTAAAATGTCAGACCTGGAAAGACCCTTGGAACAGGATGCCAGAGCTAGGAAAGATGTTAAAAACATGTCAGCACTGGAAGGAACCATAGAACAAAACATGTCAGAGCTGGCAGGAATCTTAGAACACAGAACAGACTTCCCACCAAACATTCTAGAGTGATCCAAGAGTGTCCTGTTTGCAGAAGAAGAAATGAAGAAAGGAAGGGAGAAAAGAAAAAAGGAGCTGAGTGCCCTTGGCATTTTTAGGTGGAAGGTATATGATGTAGCAGAAAGGGCATTCACTTCAGCATCAGAAGGTACTAATTCCTGTTCTGCTGCATTCTGTTGGCTCAACCTTGGACCAGTCACTAACCTGTCTGGTTCAAAATCGAATTCATTGTCCCCTAAACCTGCCCTTCCTCCCCAACTTTCATATTTCCTTTGGAAACACCAATGGATTTGAAACCTCAGGAGAGAGGCTTTGTTAGATATGGCTCATGTCCCCCATCCAGGTTCAGTTTCAGATCTGACAATCCTTCCTCATGCCAGGCAGCCAATCATTGACCAAGTCCTATTCATCATACCAATCCGATCCTTTCATCTACCCCTGCCACCTCCATGGTTCAGTATTTGTGTCTCAACTGGAGAGGATGGGCTATGGTGGGAGTAAAAAGGACACTAGAGTTGGAATCAGATGATCTGGGTTTTCAGACTACTCTGCTTGTTGTTATTCAGTTGTGTCTGACCTCATTTAGGGTTTGTATGGCAGAGATAATGGAATGGTTTTCCATTTCCTTCTCCAGCTCATTTTATAGATTAAGAAACTGAGGCAAACACTGCTAGCAAGTGTCTGAGGCTGGATTTGAACTCATGAAGATGAGTCTTCCTGATTCTAAACTCAGTGCTCTATTCACTTTGCCACCTAGCTAGGTGCCAGTATGTTTGTTCACCGCATCCCTAGCATCTAGTACAGTGCTACAGTAGTTTAATAAGAGCTTGTCCCCTGAATACCTGATTGTGGAACCTTTGTTGAATTGATGGATTGCATTGGGGATAAAAGTTGAATCTCTCAAGGCTTCCAATAAAGTATAAGCTTCTTGAAAGTAGTCAGTTTTTCATTTTGTTTTTGCAACTATACCCAACCTGGTACAAAACCATGCAAACAGTATGTGCTTAATAAATGCTTGTTAATTTTATTAGATTAGATTTAGTTTTCTGATCTATAAAATGAGAGGAGATGGACTACATGGTCATTAAGGTCCCTTCCAGCTATAAAGCCTATATTGGATATCTGTATACACCAGCTTCCTAACTGGTCTTGCCTCTAGTCTCTCTCCTTCCAAAACCTCTTCCACATGTTGCCAAAACAATTTTCTTAATGCAATACTCTGATTATGTCCCTCTTCTGCTCAAGAATCTTCAGGGGCTCCCCATTGCCTGCTGAATAAAGTAGACATTCCTTGCATTCAATCATACAATTTGCCTCCAGCCCATTTATTTATTTATGTCGGTTTTGGTCTGGATCAGTGACTTTGTTGGTGAAGGAAGTTCCTAGTAAGAAAACTCCCTCTGCTAATGAGAATTGGCAACTCATCTGCAATTTATAGGGTCAGAGAGCTGCCTAGGAGGAACTGAGAGGTTAAGTGACTGGCTGGTCCAGGGTCACTACAACCCAATTTTTTCCAGCTTTATCTAGCATTAATTCTCCTTTCTTGTGCTGTGCTCCAGGCAAGCTGTCTCTCCATCCCTCATTCTCCTCCTAACTTCTCTTTGTCTGCCTTGGCTCAAACTCTCTTATGCCCTAAATAGACTCCTCTCCTTTCATTTCCCTCCACTGAAGTTTCTTCCCTTCCTTCAAAGCCCAAGTCCGGGGGTACCTCCTCCATGCAGCCTTTCTCGAACCCCCAGCTGAAAAGTCAGCTCTCCTCCATCTGCTCAGGACCTCCACCATTTCTTTGCACATATCCCTTGCACCAGAGTTATTTATCTATTTGCCTTCCCTTCCTATTCAATTGTAAGCTTCTTTAAAGCAAAACCTACATCAAATCTACCTTCCAAACACCTTGGACTTATGTTCTCTTCTCTTTGCTCATCCAGTCACTGCTCAAGTTTAGGTTTTTATCATCTCTTGACTGAAGTGCTTTAACAGCTTCCTAAATGGTCTCCCTTCTTCCAGTATCTCCCCATTCTCCCCTCCAGGGCTGCTAAAATCATCTTCCTAAATAAGGTACAGGTCTGACAATATCATTTCCCTCCTTAAAGACCCTCGTTGGCTCCTCCCACATTCCCCCATTAGACTGGGAGTTCCTTGAGGGCAGGCACTGTTTTTGCCTTTCTTGGTATTCCCAGAGCTTAGCACAGTGCATGGCACACAGTAGGTGCTTAATAAATGCTTGTTGACCTGACAGCTATAGGAAAACAGAAGCACAGAGAGCTAAAATTACTACCAACTCAGAGGTTCACACAGTTGTATCACCTCCTCTGTGAAGCCTTCTCTGATAACTCCAGTTGTATTGGTTTCTTCTTCCTCAAATTAACTTATCTATTTACATGTTGCTTCCTCACTGCAGAAGGTAAGCTTGACAGCAAGGACTGCTTTGTTTTTAATCTTTCTGTTCTTGGGCCAAATACAATGACTGGCATATAATGGACAATCAATAAATCTTTGTTGAATTATATGACTTGTTCTTGGTATCCTCAGCAGTGAATATAAGACCTTTATAAATGACTAATAAATGTATGATCACTGGAGGTCTTCAAGTAGAGCCCAAGTGGGTCACCCGTCCAAAATGCTGCCCAGGAGAGGCTAATGCTGGTAGAGGTTGGACAAGGAGGTTTCTGAGGTTCCTTTCCATCTTGAGACATTAGGATTCTACAAATTCAGCTCAGTGCAGTGCAACCAGCAATTGAATTGCTTTCTGTGAATTATGAATTGTATTGCACTGAATGACAGTGCCAGAAAGGCCTCTAGAACATCAAAGGACCTTAGATAACACAATGTCTGAGCTGGAGGAACCTTAGAACATGAAACATAGAATGCCAGAGCTGGAAGGAACTTTAGGGATAGGATGCTGGATTTGGAGTCAGTGGAAACCAGCACTGTCTTTGACACTTATTAACTAGGTGATATTGGGAAAATAATTTCACCTCCCTTATGCCTCCATTTTTTTTTATGTGTACAATGGATGGGAGGGGGAATAATATCTGTGGTACTTACTTCACAGGGTTATTATGAGGATGAAATGAAACAATGCACACATAAAGTACTTTGCAAATCTAAAGCACAATAATAAATAAATGTCAGCTGTTATTAGAGTGGAGTGTCTCCAAGAGGAGATGAGAATATGCACCTCCCTTCTTTGCAGAAGTGGGTGATGAAGGGAGTGAAGCATTACATATGCTATCAGACTTGGTTAGTTTTGCTAAGTTGCTTTTTTCCCCTCTTTCTTTTAAAAATCTTTATTACAAGGAATGTCTGGGAGGATGTATTTAGAAATGAAGGTGATATAAAATAAAATGACAAAAACAATATACTTTTTAAAAAAGTGTGTCAGAGCAAGGTTGAGTCATAAAATATAGAAGGTCAGGGCTGGAAGGGACCTTAGAACTTCTATGTCTACCCTAAAATATACCCTCCTCGAGGGCAGGATTTTAGCTAAACTTTGTCTCTTTAGATGCTCTCTGCACACCATAGGTGCTGTTAACAAGGGTTTTATTAAGTGCTTATTGTTTTGCAAGGCACTGTCCTAGGTGCTGGGTTAGTTCCTGACCTAAAAGAGCTTAATATTTAGAATACAGGACATAGAATTTCAATTTTTGAAGGGACCTT